TGGTTTATCAGACAAATTCAGCTTTATGTAAAGCCCACTGGCTAATATATCACACACACAGTGTCACCCTTGTTCTGTGTCACAGTGGATTGTCCACAATCAGAATGGAAGATATCCATGAATGAATAATATCTTCATACCCTCCTGTGTTGCATAAGGTGGGTGCAAGTGCCTGACGTGGGTTCAAGGAGTGGATTTGAAGACATTTTGGCCTCCAGCAAGCCCATCTGTGCCTGGAGATGCTCTTGGTGTTCCAGTGGTGTAGTGAGACTACTGACAGATGAAAATGTAAGACTTGAAATAGGTTACACTGTGGGTTATAAACAAATCTATAATGCTAACATGGAATTTATTAACATCATATGTTTTCTGCTGGTCCAAAAGGTTTTGCTTTTCAGAATTGCATGATAAATACTGTAATGTAGGTCCTGTCTTTTTGTGTATAATCATAATCATATTTTCTAAGCTATCATGGTCCAGCCTATGTCAAATAGTCACAACTTGGCTCTTAAAAGGTCAGCATTTAAACTTTGCAGAATCACACTTCCTGGGAGTACATGACCAAGGCAAGGATATTTCAAATACTGTTACAAATTTTCCTCAATCCCTTTGTATAAACCCGAAATTATGTGTATAACAAACACATGTTCTGGAAAATATTTCACCTTCTCAAAGGAATTCTGAACTCCACTTAATAGTTGCAACCTGTTAACAGGTTGCAGAAAAGGGCAATATGAGATTCATTACACTAAGGGCTCAAAGGCCCAGAGCACAATGTCTTGGCTGAAAAAAATGAATTAATTATGTCCTGCATTTTTGAAAAATGAAAAAGGGGTCAGATATGAAGAGCTACATGCAGTAAATTGTAGTGAAAAAGGATCATGATGCTGCTTTGCCTTCCTTGTGGACAAGGTAAGGTGCACTGCTTTTAGGGCTTTTGTTGCACCGAACAGGTTATATACAATAATTTAAAAAGAAAATTAATGATTAAAGCTTTGAATTCAATCTGCTAGATGACTGACTAAAGATTTCAGAGCTGGAATTGCATTCACAATTTGAAAGCCACTAAATCAAAACAGTGAGGAGACAATAAGGGAGTTGGAAGTGTCATTCCAAACCCAGGCTCAGTGTTTGAGGATGTGAGTTTACATAGAACCAAAAGCCTAGGTGCTGTCTTCATTTAGCTTCATTTTGGGACTTTTCTGAAAATTCTTCTGGAGAATATCAATATCCATATTGGTGGTAAAGGAAATGAATGCCTTAAAAAGATTACTGTTGTATGTGTGACAGGTGCAAATCCTCCAGTAGTCAAAATTTGGAAACAGAAACAATTCCTCATAAATCATTTTTAACAACTGAAAGTTATTTAGGGTAAAGCTTGAGGGGAAGGGGAACAAACAGGTTATAAATATAATAAAGCCCTCTCATACCTTGATATTTCATATTGACACAGTATTTCATAGCACTGATTAGGCTGTGCTTTAAACTGCTGTGTAAGATACCATCAAGCTAAACTAACTACAGATTCCAGGCTGGATTTCCTCTAGTACAGTTACAATAGTCAGAGACCATTTTTCATGTCTTTTGTAGACATAGTTATGCTGTCAGATGTTTGCTTTAATTTATTTTACAGACTTTTGATAGGAAATCTGCAACACAGGCTTTGACAGGATGTAGAAGTGGAAGACATTTTCTGCATAGCCCAGCTTTCAATGATGGTCACATATGTTTGTACTGGAGAAAGAAGTTATTTTTCCTATACTTGTTATTGAAATAGCAGCAGCTTGGCCAAGGACATAAAACTGATCAGAGCACGCCCTGAAACACCCAAGAAGAGATCCAAAAATTATCACTGTATTAAATCCATAAACACTAACATTTATGGATGTTTACATAAAGTGCCTAAGCACCTGTGATAAATTTGCAAGGCAATGAGCAGCCCTTTTATGGCAAACCATGCAAGGAATGGTGTTGCTAAAAGAAACCTAACAGGAATAAAGTTTTCCCTGTGACTTCTGATCAGCAATACAAGTGAGTGATCAGATCCAGATTCTGTGCTATGGTGTATCTGCCTTGGCCCAACAAATTGCCCTTGAAATGAACTCTCTGCTAACAGAGAGCTTGTGCTACAGCAACCGTTCTGCCTACTGCTCTCTGTGATTAGGGACTGTGGTTAGGACAAATGAGAAATGAAGCAATAAGAAAAAGGAATTAAACCTCTGTTTCAGACCTACTTTTGAGCAGGCTTAGTTTTTTTTTTCATCCTGTACAGTACATATTACACAGCAATTTTGAAAACAGCATAATTTAAAAGTTAACATCTGCTTAGCTGGTAGCACCAGATAAAAGCTCTCATTTGTAATGAACAGGAGAATTTGTTATTGCCCCAGTCAATACGTATTGACTTGGTAGAGCACTTCTGCTTATTACAACCAAACCCTTTTTCTTTTTTGTTCAATAGTCAATGACACTGGAATGGAAGGTACTGCTTATAAACTGGTGCAATATATACCAGCAACAGCTAGAAGTTAATGACTAAGGGTTACAAAGAGGAAAGCATGTGCTAAGAACAGCATAACACATCTATTAATCAAATTTACTGCATCTGATGTGCCTTTATAGGTTAGTGGAATTGTAATGTACATCAGATAAATAGTTTTTGCTGTTATTAATCTTAGTTTCAGCACAGAACACCTTTTAATCATGCTATCATTACATAAATAACTCTGCTAGGACAAAGTTCTGTCTGACTTTTACAGCACACGTTTTAGTTACAGGAAATTTCTGTCCCATGGTGGATTCTGCAGTTCTACACTTAGGATTTAGTGAAGTGCAAGACAACTGTTCTTCTCCCAGCTAAAGTCATGTTGTTCTCTAAATAGCACAGGTGGGGCTGTGTAAATGCAAGGTACCATCCTAAGGATAAACTGGAAAGAGGGAAGCAGAGCAGGGTGGATGTGTCCATTGCTCAGCCTTCCTTCTGGCTTCTTCCTGCAGCAGAGCAGAGCTGCACAACCTTGTCCTTCACACTTTATATAACTTGGACTTTATATGCCTTGGGGTGAAATTTGCTGATAATTCATGTAGTCTTTTTTCATTCTATAACTGCAGTTTTATAATTGTTTGTTTGTTTGTTTGTTTGTTATAAACCTGCCTGACCCAAAAATATTTTCTTTCAAACTTTCAGTACTATTTTATATCAGAGAAATGCATAAATTTTTAGGACAGTGTAACTATAACAGTAGCACCTACTATTTTTATATTACCTTTAAACAAACATTACAAAACAATAATAAAGTTTGTTGACAGCTTAGGGAAAAGCAGAGCTGTTAATGATGACTTTTTGGCTTACAGGTGTCTATAATCACCTTTCCTGTAGAACATTAACAAATGCTGGAGCACTGATTTATCTGTTTGATTCTGCTTTCTGAATGCAATCTTGATTTCTCTCTAGGCTCATGATGAGTCATTATGGAAAGAAAATTTATAAATGGGGTAAAGATTAAACAATCATGCCATGGCCAAGTACATTATACTGTATTCTGTGTGTGCCATTTAATTGGATTCAAACAATGTTCATAAATCACAGCCATTTTCATTTTTCAGGAATGAGAAACACCCTCCTAGATCCACCATGTGGATCCTTGTCATACCTGTGATACTGGTATTGGGGAACACTGGTGGAATTTAATTGCTGCTATGCTACTGTTCAGTATGAAGCAAGGAGCTAAATTCAATTAAGTTCCTACATATTTACATCTCTTGACAAAGGCCCCCAGTGCTGCTCAGCCTGGGTTAAGTTGTGTTCTTGTTTGCTGTCAGCAGAGCAGAGCAATGGCGAGACTAAAGCTGTATCTTTTCTGCAATGCCAAGGATTTTTTTTAGTCTAGTAACCAAACATACCTAAATAACAATAAATTTTTCCTTGCAATACTGTTTTAAGAAAGAAAAAGATCCTCCTCTTCTTAATTTAGAACCATGGGGAGACAGATTTGCACATGGGCGTGTCATTCCATAAACCTGTTGAAATTCCATTCCAACAGCACGAGTTCAGGAGCTATACTTCCCTCTTTCTTCTAGTACTTTGTGTTTTCCAAACACAGCTTCTGATGTTGTAACAAAGTGAAAACAGGAAATATTCATAACATATTTACTGTATTTACTGTGAAGGTAAGAGGACATTATTGTTTTACACACATAACACTTCCCTTTAAAAGAAAAATATAAGTACTGCAAATTAGCAAGCAACATGGCTTAGTTGAGATGAATCAATTTTGAAAAGAAAATAGCTTTTTTAATTCCAGTTTTTTAATTCATTAATGGAAAAAAGATGGCATTAAAGAAATTACATGCATGTTAATGTCTTCTTACTTAAGTGAGCACTAGATATTTCAGCATTTCAGAAAAGTCCAGAACACCACTAAAAATGCTGGATTTCAGAGGCAAGGGATATTCTTGGCAGCTGCAACAGTTACATAGAGTAAGACATTTTGTAGATTATTCTGGAATTTTAGTAAAGTGCACAATAAGTTACAAAGTGTTTACATTGTATTTCTTTAAAATAGGAAATTTATCTCTTCTGGTACTGAAACCAGCAAGTCTCCACCAAATATATAATAAATACTTCTGCAAAAAGAAGAGTATAACTGATATTTTTCGAGACAATTTGACTTCACTGTCAACTCAGTTACTTTTATGGTTTTCTCCACTTGCCTACAGGCAACCTCTCCAGTCTATTTCATAAGACCCTGTAAAGACATCACTCAAATGAGGATGATTGTTGTTAAAAACTAAAACATTTCTAATTGAAAACAGATAGGCTGTGCATTTCCTACTCTGGTCCCAAACTTTGCAGTATCAACTGTCACTTCACGATTTGGAAGATTTCTGAGAACTGTAATCCATACTGAATGTGAACATAGATGCTTAATTTTGATACTAAGTGACACAGAATGGGAAAACCACCATCAAAGTCTTAACTAAAGATGTTAGTGACTTACTTTTTGTAACAACTCCTTCGAGGCGAATTATATTTGGGTGATCAAATTGTCCCATGATACTGGCCTCCCTCAGGAAATCTCTCCTCTGCCTGTCCATATAGCCACCTTTTAGAGTTTTAATTGCAACAGGGATCTCTCTTTTTCCTGGTGTCTTCAGACGTCCACTGCACACTTCTCCAAACTCACCTTAAATAGATTAAAATATAGGTTAGATCACTCATAGTGCCTGTACACAAAAATATTCAAGAAACATCTCTTAGAAGTGGGCAAGTTCCTGAATTTCATCACATCCCCGAAAACCAAAATATTCAACAGTGCTTCACAACAAATAATCACCTTTCCTTTGTGCCACACTGCGAGATCATGGGGGCTTGTATCACTCTCAGATTTTGAGACTGAATTTTGATATCAATATTGTGTGTGATATATAACTGAGAATGCCACGAGGAAGGAATGTAAGGACACTTGAGATTTTTATTCCAGTGATGACAAAATATCTATCTAAAATATCTGTTTATAGCAATATTTATCTCTAGGGTTGAAATGCACTGAGACCTGTATGATAAGAAAAGCCCTGAGACCATCAGAATACTTGGCTATCCTCAAACTGTAGGAAGTATTTAAAAAGTACTTTGTGCTATGATGTCCCAGAAAAGCACTTGCACATGATTTATTTAAATAGACTCACACACCTACTTGAAATTAATTATGCATTTCCCTATTCAGACACCCAAAGGCCAAGAGTTTCAGCAAATCTGGACTGAGTTGCATAACGAGAGGAATGTCAGAACTTTTTCCCCCCGATGTTCTCCTGTGTACATTATGGCCTGTGAGGAACACATGTCCCTGCATTCCCTTCACACATTTACTAATCGAATTTGTATGGAAATCACAACTTTCCTTTGATCTTGAAGTCACTCAGAAGCTATTTAAAGCCCCTACCAAACATACTCTGGATGCCTGCAGGTCACTTTTCAATCGGTCATAATTCAGCAAATGAAAAGCAACGTTCACAAAAATATTTCAAAGCACTACCCAGTGCAGGGAACTTCCATAGCAAACCAAATTTTCTACCCCAGTCATCTGGGAATCAGAACTGCAAAAAACCAAAAAATGAATAATGAACAGATATATATGTCGAACTGGAGGAAATAAATTGTTACCCCCTCCATCAAGTGTTGTCTGAACTAGTTTTCCTTAAACTTTAAGGACAGAAGAAAAGAAAAGAAAATAGGAAAGCTCCATCATGTAATAGTGTGCCTTCAGATATGAACCAAGTCTAGAAGAGAGAGTCCTTAAAGGCAGCAGCTTCACTTCAGAAAATCTGATGTTGCCGGATTAGAATGGATATTGTCATACAGTTTTTATTTTATTAGGTTCTGTCATTTCCACTAAAAGAAAACAAAGTTTTATTAGTCAATAAGATCCAGGAAGAGTGGAGGGATTAAAAGAACAGTTTCATAGCTTGTCTTTTACTTCAAAGACAGAGGTATCAACAAGTGCAAGAGTACAAGTAACAGATGCTGAGCATAATCTCTGAATAAATTATCAGCTTCTGAAACAGATAAAAAAAAATGAAGTGTCCCAGGTCTCCTTTCCACAAATCCCCCCTCCGCTCCCCTTCCCCCAATTTGTTTTTTCTACTTAATTTTCAAAAATAAATTAAAGCATGTGCTTCCCTGAAGATGTGTGCAAATATAAGATATGCGAAAATACATGTCACAGAATCACAGAATCTGCTGAGCTGGAAGGGACCCACAAGGATCATGGAGTCCAACTCTTAGCCCTGCACAAGACCATCCCCAAGAGTCACACCACGTGTCACTAGACTAATGTTCTGGGAATCTTTTGGCAAAAGTGGAAGTTGTGGAAGGATTTTCCTATATAATTTTTCCCCTTTAGAAGGCTCTCCTTAAAAGTTTGCTTGCCTGACCACTGAAAAAGTAGTAGCTAATTCGGACTTGTAAAGTCCTACCGTAAAAGAAAGTCATGAAACTTGAATACTTTGAAGGGAACATGGTATATTAATCTTCTATTCTGTGATATGTCCAGCAGAGCCAAAACACATCTCCAAAGCCACGATCTTATTTCATCTTACTGTTTTTTTCCAAATTAAATGCCTAATATGAGAAAAATTTCCAATTTCTTTCTCTTGATGAAACAGTGAAAAGTAAAAATACTAGAGCCTTAATATCCAGATTTTTAAAGAAATTTTGTGATCAATAAATCTGCAGAACTGCAAAATCTCATTTTTGAGAATAATTTGGAAAGCATAGGGAATAGAATAAATGATTTTGCTAACACAAGGTTATACAAGAGTACTACAACTTCAGAATTTCATCCCTCAGGGACTGTAAAAGGCTGTTCACCAAGTGTTTTTAAATAAATTAAACTGAAAGAGGCCAGAGAAGGGCTTACAGTCCCAAGATTTATTATCTCAACATCTAAAGCAGAAGAAGGAATATTGTGTCTTCTCCCTGACCTGTTCCTTTTACCTTTTTCAGATGCATGATTTGTAAAGTTAGAAAAGAATTTCACTGCCCTTGGATATTAGGATTGATAAACTGCTGAACATAAAGACTAAGAGCAGGTTTTTTGTGACATGATGTCAAACAGACAGTAAGTGATCATCAGCTCCCAGAACACACAGTTCCTACATTTAGAAACCTAAAGTGTGTGTAATAACTTCTAATTCTGTTTTAGATTAGATGGAAATCAATTTAAAGCATTGTGTTATTTACATGGAGAGTTTGACAAGATTTCATCCCACAGTAACTTTTCTGCTCTTTTCTTCAGATAAAGCATTTTCAATGTTTTTAAAGACAAGGGGGAATGTGCTCAACAAAAGGGATTTTTTAAATCTAAGAATCTAAGTCTCATTGCTTGGGTTTGATGATAAACAAGATAAATGTTGACCCTGCAGCAGTAAAGGTTCATGACTGCATGTGTAATAAGTGGAAGCTGAGAGTCAGATGTCAATGAAGTCGACAGCTTTCCTTGCTCCAGGGAAAAAGCTGATGATAACTAGAGGAAAAAATAGAGTTCAATGTCTGTTTAGTTTTAATAAAATTTAAATAATCCCTGGTTTAATGATCTAAACCTCACACATCTTACTGTGTGTTACACACTAAGAAGCTGATTGAGCAGTCTGGAAACTTAGCCTGTGCAAACCACAAGTCCCTTTTCTCACTCAGTCAGAGCATATGTGTTTTTTAAAGTGAAATAGGAATAGTCAGCCCCTTAAAAGTGTGACGTGCAGTCTGGTATTACTACATGGGATCAAAACAAATGTCTTGCAGCACAGACAGTTGCTGTTGCTACAACTGAAAGGTCACAGCACCAAATACAGCTTGGCTCATTTTCCCATTTTAGTCATTACACCTGTGGGAGAACTAGCAGGAGATTGAGATTATAAAAAGAATATAGTCTACTCTCTGTGAAAAATTGAGGAGTTGGTCCCTTCCTTGAGTTCCAATATTCTAACAAAGGAAATAAGAGGCTAATTTTACCTGTTAAAACAGACTTGACAAAGTACCTCTGGGAATTCCTTCTTTGAAGAGGTGCTGAAGCCTTAAACCAAATAGCAAGAAGTGAGGGGGCAGAAAAAAGTGTCATGGGCAAGATAGAAACAAATAATATGATAAAATGTCAGTAGGTGCAGCAAGCTCAATATGAGAGTTGCTGAAAGGGACCATCTGAAGAAAAGCTACAGTAATGAATTGATGGCAAATTTTGGGAACTGGCAAAAAGGTACAGAGTGATCTTTGGAAAAAAGCAATATGAAATCTGATGGAATATTTAATATTAGTGATTAAAAAAAATCAGCCAAGAGTTTTGAATCCAAGAATATGAATTACAATATTAAACAATACTAAAACTTTGTCATAAAGAGCAGATAAAATAAAAGGGAATTGCACCATTTAAACAATAATCATTGTAACTATTGCTAGAATGTGAACTTCATTAATGCATGTTTATTTGGTTGGTGTTATCACAAGCTAAGCAGCTAATACAATTAGGTCCTGTTTTGCTTTTTGGATTGTAATCTGCTTGTTATTATGAATTTTTTATCAAACTGCAAATTCCATTTTGGTTGTAAACTGTTTCCCCTACTGTGTTTACCTTCCTGTTTGAGACAGGAGGATAGAGGGAGAAGATATTAGAAGAATAACAAAAAAGACCATTAACAGCTATTAACTTGTATAATTTTTCATTCAGTCAAAAGGTCTATAAAACAGTAGTTTTTTTGGCTCAGATGAACTAGATGTAAGACAGGAGATGATGGGAAGCTGCTCAGGGGCAGAAATCTGTCTGTGCATCCATCTCGAATCTATATTTATGGTCAGATATTGTTACTTTAATGGAGATATTTTGTGTCTGCACCTGGAGTAGGTAAAGCCTGAATAATTTAGAGAGGATTTTGCAAGTTATGTAGTTCACTTCACCTTATTTTGTCCAAAGCATCAGAAAAAAGGACAGTAATTCAGAGTGTTTGCAGATGTGCTGGAATGCCAAAAGCATGTTAGAGGGGGAGACTAGGAGAGCTGAGATCAAACTTTCAATTAACTGTCTCCACAGAACATTGTGGTTGCCTTCAAAAACATCAGCTCAGTAAAAGTCAACCAGGAGGACCTGGAAAAGGGTTTTAACAGAGGCTGCACCATTTTCTTCTTGAAGTAATCTCACAAACTCAGTATCTGTTCTTAAACTGTTGCTGCTCTGCTTTTCTTATTCTTACCTGCCTAATGAGATGAATTTACAACAGTAACGTTGATTAAATCTACAAATAAATGTAGAGACATTATCTTTTTATTTTGGCTATGAAATCTTTGACTGTTGCTGGCCAAGTGTCATCTTGATCTTTGTTACTACTAAAGGCTATTTTCCAATCTGCTGTTTCTGCTTGAAGTTTTTGCTGCTTTTTCAATTTGACCATTTCTTGCCACCTTCTCTGAACCTTTTTTTAATATCTGATGGAAAATCATCGTTATTTGGAGCAGTCAGTGTGCAAGCAAGAATTTTAGACATTTTCCTCTTTTTTTAATATCATATAATACTACCTTTATGTTACTAGGACTTGACACCGAAGGATCAGACCCAACTGTCTGTGTAACATGGTTAATAGGGTTGGTTTTTAAAAGATGAAAATGAAAACTTTTAGTTCTTGAATGCAAATAATTGTTGTTTGAAAAATTAAAGTTACAGAAATTAAAAACGAAAATCATTGACCAAAATAAATTGTTAAAACAGAACAAATTTAAGAAATGCATCAATATCTTCTTAAAAGATATTGATGTTTCATTTTGTAAAAGATGTTGATTTTTGGTTTCGCTTAGGTGAAGATTTAAGTATCTTTATAAGTAATTCTCCTGTGATAAGAAATGCATTTTATATCCAGTTGAAATGTTTAATATAGAATTAGAGAGAATTCATAGAGAAAGTTTTAGGACTGTTGTGAATTATGCTGATATGTTATGTCCCTTGGTAGCTATTAAAGAACTGTGTAAGAATTTGTAGTCTCTGTGCCTCAGCCATGGTATTTAACCTGTATCTTGCCTGCATAGAAATAGGTTTAAATTTCATTTCAAGCAGTTTGCAAGTCCTAGTAGGTGAATATTTTTGTAGATGGCAAATTGCCCAAGTAATTTTAGAAAAATAAAAAACATAAGAATAAAATGTCAAAGTATACACTCCCCCACATAAAAGAAAAGGGGGAAAGAAGCTGAGCAAAGAATTTTCATGAATTAATTGAGAATAAGGACACAATTTTAATCTGAACTAAAATCAATAAACCCAATCCCTGCCTATGGTATTCAACTGCTTGGAAATCAGTAGTTACATTAGTGTTAGTGTTAATGTAGTTCAAAATGCTTTATAATCCAAGATATCAACATCTATATTATGTCTGAAGAAAAGGAAGAAATAAAAGAAATCAGATAGAATGTTTTCTGCAGAAATCAGCCCTCTGGAGGCTCTCTCAAGCTCATAATTTCAAAGGTGCACAGAACTACATATTATGTGGTTTAAGCAATCAGGTGGACTGAAGTACTCCAGAGATATGGACTGCACTGGGAAACAGAACTGTCCCTCTTACTTTCAGGTCAATACTTTTCTCCCCTGTTTGTTAGCAGACATGGTTTCATTTCTGTTATATTATTTACATCACCTTTTCTAGTGCATAAAGCACTTCTGAGCAACGCTGAAGTTATTTCCGCTCTTGTCAGTGTAGTAACGTATCATTAAATGAGGGATCTTAAGGGACAAATACTTCTCCTTTCTAGAGTGACTAAGATATATGAAACAGAGATAAAAAAGAAGGATCACAGTGCATTATGTCTTCTGACAGTAATTTTCCTGGCAATATTCTTCAACATGAGTTCTTTGGTGGGTTCACTATGAGCAAATTAAAACGAGGTTTTCTTTCCACTGAACCCCTTTTAAAAGATGTAACTGATTTTTCAAGTCTGTCGTATTGTGAATGATTTCACTTTTTTTTTTTCCTTCATGGCATTAAAGTGTAAGAAAGTAAATAAGGTTAAAGTAAGTAAGTAATAAAACAGCATTATTAAAGAAAGCCCAGTAGCTCAAAGATGGGCACTGGAGCATGGAACGTACTAAATAAATTTACATTGAGGTGAACATCTGTGCAGTCAGTATTGTAAGCACCTTTAACACAACAATTTACAAAATTTAGTCACTTTTAATATCTTGAGGACACAGAGAAATATCCATATTGTGTAATATGAAGACAGGGAGTGTTAATCTCCTTTGCAGGAAGAAATTATATTTCAGAGCTGGATTCTGTTCCTACATCCATCAAAATTTCTGACAGAGACTCTCAGCTCTCCCACCTTCCCCTTCTGTTGCGGCTGAGAAATGATTAATTCTCCTCAGCCATTATAGGGTAATAACACAGAGAATGTAAACTACCACAGGAACTCCAGACTCTCCTTGTCAGTCTGTTTTTTGTTTTAATTTGTTATAACTGTAAGAAATGTTGGTGGTCCTTCTGAATGGCATGTTGGTCATAAGCTGTGCATTGAGATCCACTGGTTAGGTAAGTTTGCAAGGCCCTTTTCTGGCCTTGTCTCTCTAAGTCCTCAGTAAACCATGAACTGAGTAAAACACAGCAAACAATCTCAGGCCCTGGACAACAATGAAATGTTTTCTGCCCCACATAGTCAGAACACAAGAAATGGTTTTACAAGACTGTTTTTACAAGTATTTCACTTTTGTTGTGTTACCCTCAAGGGTGTGTTTTCTGTCACCATTGAGCTGGTGACACTACCATCAGGACCTCTAGTGAACTCTAGAAGGCAGCCATGAGCCTTTAACCCTACAAAGACTTTCCAGAAGTGAATGTGTGGGAATACTTGCACATCATTTTCCTGAGCAGTAAAACCTGACAATTAAATCAAACCTCAGACAAGAGTATAACACAATGCATGGAGAAGACATTGCACATCAGCAAAAGTAGGATCCCTGAAAACACAAGGGGCACTTTGTCTCCCCTAGGGAAAAAAGAACAATGTACATACAGGATGAATGAACTTCTGAAACATTATCAAACAGCTGTGAAGTGGCCTATAACCCCAGTGAGATATTCTCAACTGAAGGTAAATGCTCCATAGGTGAGAACAGTCTAAAACAATTGATCAGATGTAATTCCTTTCTGTCTCCACCACACACTTGAACTAACTGGGATATAGGAGGAGATCATGAAGCTATTTTTCCATTCATCCTACTTTTCAAGTCCCCATCACCTTTCATACCATCTCCACCTCCTTATCAGAATTTCCTTTTTCCCTTCTGCTAATGATCCTTCTCCACACAGGAAAGCCTGTCCCAAGCCAGCCTTTCCTTTCTCTCTCCTCATCCTCCTCCTGTTTTTTATTTAAGGATAACTTTTTCTCAGTCTTCATTCTGAACTTATCTCCCCACAGAAAGAAATTCTGATCTAATTTCATGCTCAGTGACTGAGAACACATGACAATAACTATGGCAAATGCTGAGTGACACAAGGGTTTGAGTGCATCTGGAAAAAAAAACAAACCCCTAACAAACAGGGCAAAAAACCAACCCTACCCAAAAAAATTATAAAGCTTTAAAAAACATTTAGGATAAAATATTGTGTTGGAGAATCTCCCTTTAGAGAACTCCTGATTTAAATATGAACATATTTGGAGCATGAGCTGGATACAATACCTCAGTTACACCACACTTTAGAGAGGACTGTCTGAGAAACACACCCACATTTTCTGCTATACTTGACCACTTGTGTTATCCTGGTGACTCAAGAAAAGCAGCCTTGCCAGGCCTGGACGTTTCTTTTTAAAGCGGGTATAGTTTTACCTGCCCCAATAACTCTTTCAATACGAATTCTTGAAGGATCTATCTCCTTTGCAAACTCATGGACAGCAAGAGATGGGTCTTCATACGTGTCTGGATCAATGTATGTTTTAAGTCCTGGGAAACGCACTGCAAAAAAGCAGAGAATAACAGGAATCAAGAACTTTCACATTGTGCACTGCAACAAGATTTATTTATTTATTTATTTTTAAACTAGACAACTGAAAGGATTGGAAACAATTTATTAAATCTTCCACGTTTAAAGTTCCAGAACCCAACAGAAGAGGATAATGACCCCAAGTTACTAATGCTTGCTACTGATTTCGCAGAACCAACTGCAGAATGCATGAGTTGTCCCCATTTGGACCATCAAAGATTGAGCACAGGCTTAAACATTTCCTCTTATCCTTCAAGTGGCTTATTTAGGCAAGGCTTCTAAGACACTAATGAGCTGGTTCTTACAACTCTATAGACAGAGAATGATTCTCTGACAACCCAACACAAGCAAAAGCATTCCAAAGTACTGACTGAAAGTGTAAAAAGGTCCTGCTGGGCTCTGCTCAAATCTTCTGAGGTGTTCTGGGTGACTGAAAGCATGGATACTTCTTCAGGATTGCTGCAGTGCATTGTTGCAACAAACATCCTTCCAGCTTGCAATGATGACTGATAATCAGTGTTATCATATAGAATGGAGAAAATACCAGTATTAGTTTCTTTGAAGGTTATTTATACCTCTAGTTACTGTCAAGTTTGCCAGTTACATGAGTCCCAGAGTTTATTCTGTCCCACGGAAAGAAAATGTCAAAGGCCTTAAGAAAACTCAGTCTTTGGTATTTAACTTGATAAGAGAGTGCTGAATTCTTATGCTGTTTTGTCTCTGTCCCAGATGAAAACAAGCATCTCCTGAGAAACAGCATTTCAGGCAGGAAAATTAAGAGGACAATAAAGTTTTTGGAAACTTCTTCCTAAGACAAAATATCAGCCCTAGTTAAATTGTAAGGAAAATGCAATTTTGATTTTGGGTATGTTAAATTACATTCTTCTTCTTTTCTTTTCTTTTCTTTTCTTTTCTTTTCTTTTCTAAAGAAAAGAAAAGAAAAGAAAAGAAAAGAAAAGAAAAGAAAAGAAAAGAAATTTTTTTTAAATTGTAAGCATTTCCTTTCTGAATTCTATTTAATATTTTAGTCTGAAAAGGCTCCTTGGAGCCTCAGTACTTAGCTTATATCCTTAAAGAATGCTTCAAGTACAGCTGGTAAATTTGGAAAATGCAGCAAGTCATGAGAAAATATGAGGTGGTCACTTGAAAGGCTGTCTAAAGTGACACCAAGTGAGGGCTCAATGACATGGGGAAAAGCAGAGCCTCAAGACTAGCAGCCAGGGCAGCTTATATTCCCCTTCACTGCTCCTTGGGCAATTTAGGCAACCTGTCCTTTACTTTGAAAACACCGGTTCCTAATTCACTCCTTTCATTTAGCAGTGGGTGGCTGAACATTCCTTTTGCCTAACAGGTCAAATTTTTGAGATCCTTTCCTCTAAGGATGAGTCCTGGAGGACTGTGCTGCTTTGTCCTCCTCTGGTCAGCTGGAACAACCAGAGAGCCAGGTGCAAGATGAGAACAAAACTATCCAAATCCATTTCCAAGGCTTTGATAATTCCTGTCTGTTTCCTTGGAGATGGCCGTGGCAAGAGTGGGATGGTGCCAGATGGCTTTGGAAGGCTCGGGCAAGCCATCATTTTCTGGCACTCCTGATATCCCTTGTGTTCCTGAGTATCGCATGTTCAAGAACTTATCGTTGTTTCTCTTGGACTGTCTGGATGGAAATCCTTTTCAGGCTGCTACCATGTGATGATTAAGTTCTGGAAAACTTTCAATCCATTAACAGAAGTTGATGTAAATAATGCATCAACTTATCGGGATAAAAGGAGGCTACTGCAGCTGGGTTCAGAGAATCCCTTTAAAAAGAATTCAGCATTTCTCAGCCATTCCTCTTATCACTTAATAGCTGAGTCTAAAGCAGTTCATTATCTGATGAGCTTCAGCCAGTCTGGGAGTGGTCACCCTTATGCTGGTCCTGGGAGCGATTGCACAGTCCCAGGTGTTGTTTCAGGTTGAGTTGCTGGATCCCAAATCCATAAGCAGCCAGCAGCCAGGCAAAGGTTGCTGTGTGGAGGATGTATTTATGCAGGTGCTGTTTAGTGTAAAGGAGGGAATATTGTTGGCAGTACAGTCTTGGCTGCTGGGGTAAATCACAATAATTCCGCTTTATCCTTTGTTCTGTGGAGCACATACATGAGCAGAGATTTGCCCCCTCCAGTGTGATGCTGAGATAACTTGAAATGACTGAGAAGCCTCTGAGATGAAGCTTTGTGTCAACATGAAATACAGGTACCATTTACCCCAGCCTGAAAGACACTGAGTGAGGCTTTCTTTTAAATTCAGTCACAGATTCAGAGGCATAAATCAAGCTCTCCTGCTGGAAGGCTTTTGTCCTCTTTCATTTCTGACCATGCTTGGAAACAAATGACAAACAAATATTTCTAGGAAGTATACTTTATGGGGAAATGTGCCCTTTTCCTTGACAGAAAGAGGCACTTGGCTAGATATAGTGGTGTCACCTGTAAAAAGATTTTACTTCTGGTGACTTAACTTCTGTGTTGATCACGGTGTTTCCAGGGGTGCTATCAAAATGATGAAAAAATAAAATTTTATACCCTTTGTATAATACCCTTGGAATAAAAAGACAAACTAGTAAGGCAACTAATTTAAACTAGGTAGCTAAACTAAACTATATAAACTAATGTACTGCCCGTGAGAGATTGGCAGGATTTTCTTTCACTGTACTGATCAGTGAGCAGGAACATGAGGGAAGACAACCCATTCCACTTCTTATTTCTTGGGTGGCTGGAAGTGTAGATCCCTAAATCCAAAGAGAACTAGATACAAATAAGTCACATAGTCACCAAGAGAGGAACTTTGAGGCAGAAATTTAATGTCAAGAACAACTGAGACGTCACAGAAATATACCTGAAAAACTGATTAAATGTTAATAATTAAATGAAAAAAAAACCCATAATAACTAGAGTGAATTTAGTGAAATTGTTCAAGAGGACATAATCCCCCCCACCTTTGATGATGCAGACAGTAAGGAACTACTCAAATGACCAGATTAAAATAGCAGGGGAAAAAGCTTTCCAGGAAACAATGAACATTCTTCATTTAAAACATGATATAGATATTATGTAACACAGTGTTGAACTACTTACAATGTCCATTTTGCAAATGAGCCCTTCTTTTCTCCTCAGATTTCATTTTGGCCTTTATGTACCACTGGCATCTTTCAAGAAAACAAGTGAGGTTTTAAATAAAATACTTGCCATGGATAAAATAAATGTACATTAAGTTTTATCTGCCCTTTTATGAAAATCAGAATCTTTGCATTTGGAATACACATTTAGTTATGAATCTAAAGAGGGAAATATGAAGAACTACAAATAGATTACATACAAAGAAAAACAGATCAGAGTTGAATTATTAGCATGAAAGTGACTACTTGAGTTTAAATTTCATTCAAAATTTTATTTCAAGTTTGACTCCTTCAAAGAATTCTGATACTTTAATAAATTATCACTTCCCTGCATTCCTGTTTGCATATGTAAGTTAGTGGTAATTAAACCTTATCCTATTAACTTTCATATACAGTGGGTGAAAAAAGCTTACATTTTCTTCCTAATTGAATAATAATGACTTCACTACATTTCATGAAAAAAAAAAAATTTTTCTTCACATCAGGATCACTTTTTTCTTTATTTTTGCTGAGTGGCTCTGTGCAGTGCAAGCCAGGCACTGATTTATTATTTCTTCTAAGATAGCAAATATCATACAGGATAAACATTAGGTTTTAGCATATGCCTCTATGATTGCTATAAAATTGCAAATCCTTGGCAAACAACCCAAAACTCAGTGGAAGTTCATGAATTGTCAGCAACCATATCTGACAATGCAAGGGTATATGTTGCAGAAAACTGCCACACGGCAAGTTTTTGGGTTCCTGGTAATGAAATCTCCCCCAGCCTGAATGCTGCCAACCTGCTAATGCTGATTGAGAGGGTCACATGGTAGCAGCAACTGTCTCAGTCAAGAAAAAACCAAAATATTTGATCTTGGTCTTAAAGCACGCTCTCACCCACTGAACAGCCTAAGAATTATTATTTAGAGGGAAACCTTTTGGTCTAAGGGCTGTTGAGGCACTGAACCCAGCGGAGAACAGCAGTGCCCGTGGACATGTTATTTAGTGTACAGACATACAGTTCCAAAACCAGCTTGGAAAAAAATGACTGTCCTCCCTATGTACATTACCAGCCTCATAAAATTAAATAAACCTTAATTAAAGGCAGTATATCTACACAAACGATGATATGAGAAACAGGTGAACACCCCCACCTCATTTCAATGGTTAGTTTAAACTGCTGGAACACAGTAGGAACACTCACAAATCCATTCACTGCTACACAGGTAATGATGAATGGGCAGAAGATTCTGTACCTTGTGGAGGGAAATGCAAACCAGTGGACTCTCAGATTCTGCGTAAGCCTAGGGATTGGAAACCACTCGCTGTGACCACTAAGGATGACAGAGCCATTTCAGGACCTGAACAACTGGTCTGTAGGGTGCCAAGTGCCAGGAACACTAAATAGGAGTTCTTATACTTCAAGTGTCTGCCCAAGGGAACAGTCAAACATTAAGAAAGACTTTAACCCTGTCCAGTCCTCCCAAGTGTGGCCCCAAAGTATGACTACAGTGGTCAGTGACTGATCACCAGCAGAGGAGTCTCCTCATTCTCTGCTCGTGTTGGCTACAGAACAATCAGAGAGGAATAATTTCTGTAATGATAAGACTGAATCATACTGAGCTTTAACATCACATTTCCTGAAATTAAGCCAAGATCCCCTGTCCTGTGCCTCCAAGTCTCTGCTGCTTTCATTTTTCTCTCTAGGACTGACAGTCGTGCTTCCTGCTTGCTCTGGGTGGGTAATCACTCAGCAAAGTGCAGAGCCAGGTGCTCATTTAACCCAGCCTCTCCACTATGAATAGACTCATCAGCAGCCTGGAGACTCGACAGCTCATCAAATTGTTAATTCTAAACACTGGAGCAGAGCACATCTGTAGGGTACCAGTCGCATTTTTCATGCTGAAATTTGCCTCCAGTCCTAGAGTAAATTGAGTATTTATTCAAAATTTTCTTGCTCTGTCTTCTGTGGAATACGCTCTTATCACTGCATTTAAGCAGCACTTCAAAATGAATTCGTATCTTACATAATTGAAATGATCCCTTTGAGTAAGGCATTAGAAAGCTAAGAGAATCTCCGATATCCTTAATGCTGGCAAACAGGAGGAATAAACCAAAAGAAACCCATTTCCATATTTTTTTTTTCATTCCTGAGTTTAGTGAGGTTTTTTTTCTAAAGGAAGTGTTTGAGTTATGCTTCAGGATTTCACATTAGGATTCCACAGTTATTTTCTCTGGAAGTTTGTCTAAATAATTCCTCTCTCTTCTGAAAGACCTTGCTGTTTGTCAGCTTCTGTAGTAATGGCAGGAATATTTACTTAGCTTCTAAGATTATTTAAGGTCACGGTATGTTCCAAGGTTAACTGCTCTCATCAAGTTCAACAGAAAGTTAGACTTAATTGGTTTTATTATTTAGCAGAAAGAACATTAATTCACATAATGGCAGCTACTGTGGTTGCTGAGGTATTGCAAATAAAACCTCTGGCCTACACTGATAGAACTTCACTTTCTTTTCAAGTTAGAGGTAATGCTATACCAACAAAACAGAAATATAATTACAAATTTAAAAGTGCCACACAGTCCATTAATATCAGCCCTGTCTCTGATGACCATTATCACATTCAGAAGATTTAAGTGTAACATCTTTTCTGGCAGTGTAAACACAGGCCCTAAACCAGGACAGTGGGAGTGCAGAATCCTTTCCTAACTCTGGATTTTTTCTGTCCCCAAGCCAGGTAAGAAGGAAACTCCATGGAGAATCCTACTCAGATGAAGGCTCTTCCAGCATCTTTTTTTGTGTGTCTGAAGGAGGGAAAGGGGAAAAGGATAGAGAGGGGTCAGAGCCCACACAAACTCCAAGGCCTCACAGAGGAGATGGGATCATAATCTCTTTGTCCTTTTAAATTTTGTTTTGCTTCCAAGTGGAAGCAGGTGAAGTCCCGAAATCACTCAGGAAACACCCAAGGCTCAGTGAAAAAGGAAAAAAAGGCACCCTGGAAGGAGTTGTACCTGTGAGAATCTGAGCTCCAGCAAGGAGTGGTGTTCCTACCTACACATGTCTTTTTTAGCATGTCCAGTTAGAATTTGTGAGTTCCCTTAAAACCTTCACTGTGCAATTCAGCACGGCATCTGGCCACTCAAACCAAAATGCTTCCTCATCCAATTTGCATAATGTCATTATTTGATCCTAATCAACACATCCACTGAAGAAAGGTGGACAAAGAGCACTGCATTGAAAGAATTGTAAGCACAAGAATTGGCTAGTTATAAAAAAACCCACATGGTCCAGACTGGTGAATTCCCCTGCCAATGCAGCAGTACTGCTGCAACACAGATTTAATTGGGATATCTTCAATCTTAAAAAAAAAAGCCAGAAAGCAATAAAACAGGACCTTTAGGAAACTATTTTCTGTTTGCCAGTGATACCACAAGCAGAAGAATCATTCTAGTGTTTCGGAGTATAGTATTCCTTAGTTTAATTTCATAATATAATTCCTGCTTTTTATCTTAAGAGATGCAGAAATGTGCATATAAAATAGGTGCATAATTTTGTATGACTTTTCCTGCAAATTTAATATAGTGAAAGTAATAAAAAATGGTCCATTCAAGTGTATTTAGCAAGCTACATTGCCAATTCCAAGACATCAAAAATCCCAGGGTTGCACCCTCCAAAGCTTTGCAATTTACAGTTATGAGATTTTATAAAATATATTGTAGGAATTTTTTCTTTCTTTTTTTTTTTTCTTGTAATGTCAGAGCCTTGAAGGTGCAGCAGGTACAATGTGTTTTTAAATTTTCACTCTGGAGGCAAGAGGTCCAGAAACTGGTTTTTAAAATATCCAAGCTATTTCCTGATTTCACATAGTTGCTTATCTGCCCAAACTGAGTCTTTATGGAAAACAACACTCACGAGAGAACTGTGAGTACGACCCAAAGAAGGCATTCACCCCACTGTTTAATCTTTATTTCAGCACTGAAAATGGGGTTTAATGATTTAACTATTATTCTTAAATTCTGAGTTTTAGATGGTTCCAGCCCTGCCTAAATGAGAATGCTGTAGCTTTAATTACCTCCCAGTGATCAGGAAGAACAAAGTGAGGATGACCAGGAGAGTGAATCCACCAACAGCAGCAGTGGCAATGACAAGAATCTGCCCCTGCTCCGCAGCCATATCAGAAGCTGAAAGAGAAGCACAAAGAAAAGAGGTTAATGCTCCACCATCCAGGGGTTTTGAAGGATGGGTGAAAACATTTCAGTGGTCAAAAGTTACAAATCGTTTATAATAGTTTCCCCTTGCTTAGCAAGGTCATCAGATGAGAATGTTTGTGAAGTGAGAAACTATAATCCATGTCCCAAGCAGGAGGAAGGGGAGAAGGTGTTTACAGGCTTTTAAAATGAGGAGCTGGCATTATCAGAAACTTGTAGTTGACTTAAGTTTGAATATGACAGGATTTTGGACACAAAACTGCATTTTCGTCTTTAGCTTTATTTATCTTAATCCTGCATCTAATTCAGAACTTCTCTCCATCCACCTGGCCCATGAAGTCATCAGCAGAGCTGTGTGTGTAAGAGATACTAAACCAGCTTCAGGAGGAAGCAAAGTAGAAAAAGAAAAATGTGGAGCTTCACAGACACTTCAGCATGTCTGGTGTTTATTTTTATTGACACAAAATGCATAGAGTTTTCCCACAATATGCTTTGGGGATTGTCAACGCTGTAGCTGAAAAAAAATAAAATTAATTTTCTTATGCCTCGTGTTTTTCTCTCTGCTTTTTGTAGGATGTTTAGGAGTTAAAAAAGATCACCTGGTCTCCAGACACTTGCTTTTTTTATTAATGTATTGTGTATAATATTAAATTTTTACATTGACAAAGCACCTACTTACAATGAGATTGGTCCTCACTGTCCAAGTACTACATAAGTAGAAAAAGAATTAGGCTTGTTTTTTTCTCTATCTCCTGTCTTGTGACTTCAGAGTTTTATTTGTTGAACTCAGTTACACTTGAACATTTTCACCACATGACATTTACCCAATTCTTACTTTCTATTTCCATGGGAAATAAAACATTGTTTTGAAAGGAGAATAAATAATTCTATTCAATGACCTCTGACAAGAGTAGTAAAAAAGAAAAGAAAATAATTTTTACTTTTGTCAGGAAAGCAACTTTGATATTTTAAACTTGCAAACTGTTCAATAAGCAAAATCTTCAACTTTCTTTTGGCACCAGTTGATTACAGCTTAGGGAAGTCACCAAAGCTGCTGCCTAGAAATCTCAGCAGGCTATATTCTCTCACTTTGCGGTTGATGAAGCCCAATACAATGCACACATTGCATTCAAAGCCCCATAAAATGCTGTTTCCAAGAAAAACATTTGGCTTCTAAATAATATTTGTGTGAGTTTAGAAACTAGCAGTGTAAACTGGCTTTGTAATAGTAGTAAAGCAAATAAAAACAACAGTAGTTTATGTAAAATTTTCAGCAAAAAAGCAACTTGTTAAATTTCTGCCATTAGGTTTCTCTCCATATAATTTTATGGAATCATGCACAGGCAGTAAATTACAAGGCGCTCAGTATCTGTGGTCATAAGCTTTCTGTAGACAAGTTAAATATACACATTTTCCAATAAATGATGTAGCAAATACTCACTGAATAGCTAATCTCCAAAATGATATCTAGTGATGTTATGGGAGTTACAGTGTGCTGTATTATGTTCCACAGAGTCAGATTTAGTTGGAAAAATACAACATAACAAATATCATGCCCCACAAGTAACAAGGCAAATAATAACAGGCTCTCCAAATAAAAAGCTGAATATTTTCAGACTAGTGGGAGTCGTGCTAAATGTTGCAAAGATTGTTACAGCCAGGCACGGTTGGCAGCTGTGATGGAGAAGGTTTCAGAGGAGTCTTTCTTGCCCATCTCTGTGATGGAAGTGAAGGAACAGCCTGCAGCTCTCTTTTTTTGTTTTTAATAGGAGAAAGATGGGTGAAAAAACAGTGAATTCAGCAGAGGAAAAGCAAACCACGAGCTCAGATAAATTAGCTGTGGTTTCCGTCAACAGATATTCATTGCCAAGGTAACAACTCAGGGCCTTTCTTGGTGCAAATGTAGGGACCAACTCTGTGGTCTGAAGCAGCACCCTGCAGTTATGGAGATGGAGAAAGTCGTGTGCCCTGGATCATTTCTCCTGGATGGAGATGCTATTTCCTGGAGTTCTAGCTAAAACAGAATCCAATCTATCCATTTAATAATACATATTTTCTATCAGGAACCAAAGTCATAGTAATGAAGGGGAGAAATTCTAGCCTGGCTTTAGTTCTTTCCACCTCTAAGCAGTATAAGTTTTAGCTGAGACTGTAAGTACTTAACAAGTGACCATTCTGGTTCTCTTGTTTGTATTTTACTGTATTAGCAGAGATGTCAGAGTCCAATACATTAGGATTTCTTTTTCTCAAGTAGCCAAATAACTATAAGGAGCTTTCAAACCTGAAACTTCCAGATGACCTTAATTTACTTGTCAGATAAAAAAGTCAAATGACAGACAAGTATAATTGGAAAATGTGGATTTCTTAAAAACTGACAGAGAGGCAGGTAAGGTAAAATGATGGAAATACTTATTTTTGCTTGAAGTGATCTTTCAATAAAATCAATAAAGGCACAGTGCAGTGAACATCACACATACAAGCACATGTGTATGCACATACAGAGACTTATCACACGCAGGTAAAAGGTTCCATAAAACACTATTTAGGCAGTGAGAAGACAGTAATCAGGGACATTCAACATTTTTTTTTCTTACAGCATTTTTCCATTCTAGATTAAATTCAATATGTCTCTCAATCTCTGTTCTTTTCTCATTTCTCCAGCCTTCTCTTAAGTTCAAGTTGTAAATACTAAGAACTTTAATTGCTTCTGGTCTGCAGGTTCTTGAATCTTTTTTGTAATTTCCTGTTTTTTTCTTCCTTATTTTTCCTGTGCATATTGGTATATGACCCTGTGTTTCTCCTCAGAACTAGTTTGATTATTCAAGACAGAAAAACTCAGTTTAAAAAACAATTATGGTAGGTTGCAAAGTCAAGCAAGTTCCTGCAACCTTATTTCATGTCTTTGTGTGTACATATTAGACTACTGCATTTAATCACAGAAGCACACAGCATTTTTCTCCCAGAATCTCATTTTTAGACAACACTGTCAGTACTCATACAGCTAAAATCAATATTTTGTTGTCTCTATGCTGTCCAGTGCACAGTCTCATATCTGCCAACTCTGCACCATCCAAATCCATCCAGTGCTAGATGATCAGTAGCTCTGTGAGCACAGGGATGAATGTGGCCGTACCATGTATGGGGCCATATTCCATTTGTTGAAGTTGATAGACAAGGGGGTGAGGAAGCGCTGGTGCAACAGGAATACATAAGCCAATAAATTCATTTTGACAGAAAACGTACTTTAAAAAATGAGTAACCTAAGACAAGGAAAAGGGAGAATTTGTTACTTATCCCAGCAGATGATTCAATAGTATTCTGTAATGTTTGGGTGTCAAAATACTTCAAACACATTGTACCTGCAACTAATGTGATTAGTCAAAGTGATGACTTCATTTTAAAACTGCAGCATGTATATAACACATTATTAACCAGATAAACTCTTCACTTCCCTTAATCCTCATGCTCAGCTTGGGTTATATGCCTGAAATGACATTTAAAGTGTCTAATTGCATGGTTCCAGCTTCCTTGCTTGACAGCATGCCCAGATATCCCTCCTGCATCCGGCCTGGTGTCAGTTCTGTGCCTACAAGCTGCTCTTGACATCCATACCCTGTCTTGGCTCCTTTCTGGGTTCTTCATCCGAATGTGTGGAGGAGGAGCTGCACTTTCCCTCCTCTCTGGGCTGAAGGGAAATATCCTAAAGCTTCTCCATTTCCTCACTGGGCAGACTGGAAGAAATGGTGCAGACGTTTTAGTCATGGTACAAGAGGGTGACAGACAGAGAGAATGTTTCAGCTCTGCTCTTTCTTTTCTTTGAGCAAATTTCTCCACAATATTTTAAAAGTTTGTGTATTTGGTATAAAAGACCTGGAAGGCCTAATGACAGCTCACTCCTCTCTCTTAGCTACATCCTTTAGTTATTTCAACTTGACATCTATCAGGCAGCAGACCTTCCAGCAGACTTAAAGATAAAAAAGTGACAAGAAAGACAGCTAGACAGATAATAGTGAGCAGCTGTAAGATAGATAAGTGTGGATGGTGAGAACTGGAGCTCTAATAGACAGGAACTGTCTGTCAGATGGCTCTACAAGGCATTGTAAACAACAGTGCTTGAGAACAACAGATAAGTAAAACACAGTGTCTCATTAGGGTAACCTTTACATTTACAATGAGCTGATGGGCTCCAGTCAAAGGGGGAATGTGGGAAAGGGAGAAGGCAAAGGAAAGGTGATCTTAAAAAGGATGTTTAGGATGAAAAGACAGTGCTGTCACTAGCATAAAGATGTAAAACTTTTTGGTACATGTTCACTTGAAAAGCTTTCTTTCAAGTGTTTCCCCTCTGACCAGTGGAATAATGGAGAGCCTGTGCAAGCAGGTTGAGATCCGAACAAAAAAAAAGCAAAAGCATAATCTCCATTTTTCATTGGTAATTCAATGTATTTCTAAAAATCCTAGGGATGGCTTCTCTATCAAGTCATGAATCAAAGCATGTGCTTAAACCAGTATTGGACCTCTACTGGAATCAATGATTCTAGACCTTTCTCTTGATCTTTGGAGTTCTGGAAAGAATGGAGCTCAAGGGTCTCAATCAAATCCAATGGCAAATCCAAACCAGCATGTTTTGAGGTTGAAAAGTTAAAGGTAGATTTTTTGGATGTGGGAAAAGGGGGAAGAATGTGGGAATCCAGAAATAAAAGAAAGTCACCATCTGTGCTTACGGTAAGGAAGTTAAAGTTTCATCAAGATCAGGTTTTCAGGCCAATTGTTTTTTCATAGTCTTCAATTTTATAAAATACCCAATCAGGTATTCCCATAACATTTCTGAAATGTTTATTTTTTTTATTGTTAATATGACTGACTTAAAGCATATGAAAATCTACCTTGCTTTTGGATTAAATATCATCATGTGTTTACAGTTATCACTCTGTTCACCCCAAGCACTAGTCCATATTGCAAAATGCTAGTTTGTCCCTTAGGTCCCTTCTGGAACAAGCCAACCATTTTGCTTTCAGATTATTTTCTCCCAGTGATGGAAAGGCTGACATGGAAAATACGCTTGGTTTTAGAACAAGCCCTGCACAGGAGAGCTACAGCATGAAAACACTTCACTGCCTAACAGCTGTAAATTATTCAATATTTTACAAATCCCTCTAGGCACTGAGGTACTACAGTAAAAACTACCTCTCTAGAAAATAATTAAAAAAAAAGCATTGAACCATTTATTTAAAAAAAAATCCAACAAAACCACCACCACCAACAAAAAAGTCTTCCATAAAGAACAAGTTAGAAGAGAGAGAGAAAAAAAATAGAGAGGGCTACAGTTACAGATAAAAGCATATTTGCCCCAGGACAAATGGGGTTTTATTCTCAGAATGCATTTTCTTCTATGTTAGGAAGGACCAGAGTTTTTTTTTGGTGATTCAGATAGTTGGTACTTCCAATAGATAAAAGTGAGGTTATACCTCAACTTACAGCCACAGCAGTGGTACCTGTGTGTATCTGGAGTGCATTAAACCCTGCCATCTTTACTACAGGTGTTTTGCCCATAAGGTGCTGAAACAGAGGGACTAATAAAATGGTCAAAAGCAGTAGTTACTATGCTCTGTAAAGGTATTACATATCCCAGCAGCCTTTTAGCTTTAAACAGGGGAAGAAATGCCTGACAGCATCCGCTCATGAATCCCTGCTTCCTTGAAGAGAATTTTTCTGACTATTCTAGGTAACTGCATCTCCTATCACAAAGAAAGTACAAATTTTACTCTTTGGAAAGCTTCATTTATTTGTCTTTGCATCAAGGAGAAGAGTTCAACAACAACATGCTCCCCAAGCAGTGGCTGTCTCAGCCTGGGGGTGAATAAGCCAGGATGTTTCCCCAAAAAAACACATCAGCATTATTAACTAACTTTTGTCATTACTGCTGCATAGTTGGTCTTCTTTCTCCCTCATGCATCACCATTAATAATCACACCAAAATGTCGTAGTTTTCCCACTAATGATGTATCTAATTTTATCCTATATAACTGAACTGACACAGATAGTGTTTCACCCAGTAAATGGGAGAAGGCACGACAGCACTGTCCTGCCAAGGACAGAATGTTTTAGGACATTGATATACACATCTCATAGCTGATGAGCCAATATTTTTTTATAACTAGTCTGTTAATTTTAAGTTTTCTTAAATGCTCATTTTGAATTGCTCTCTTTGTCATTATCTATCCACAAATTATGTCAATATTCAAACAGGGTAAATGGAATAACCTTGGATGTTTACCTACAACTCGTCTGGAATTCTTCTCTTCTGTAACATGTACAATTAGCAGAGAGCTGAAGGATGTTACAAGCTAATGCCAATTGAGAATGATTTTTTTATGAGATTGTTGGTTGATAAATTTTCTGTCAACAGCACAGACTTTTAAAAGATTCTATTTTTCCAGTCTTTTAATGAAAATATTAGCTTTAAATTAATTAAAATCTGGCTAACCAAAAGTCCACAAAAATTAATTGCAAAAGTAACTTGTTTCTAATTTTAACCAGGTAACTTGTTCCTAATTGGTAGAGATGGAGGGAGCTGCAGTAGTCCGCTCTGGTCTAATATTATTTGGTATCTTTCAGAATAATTGAGAAGAATGTATATTAAAAAATCACAAAACTTTCAGCTGAGCCCAAGAGCTAGTTGTACTAGTGAATTGAGAAGGAGAGATGGGGCTAGGATAGAGTGAGTGGATTCCCACTCCCAGGAGATATTTCTATCAGCAGCACCAAGGAGAGAAACGCCACTGGAACCACAGTCTTCCTGATTCAGATGAGCAAGTGACATTTTCACAAACACAACGAGACTCATAGAAGTTTAAATATGGTTTAATTTTTATATCAGTTATATTCCTGGGTGCCCAACACCAGATATTTGTTGCATCAAGATCTACTGAAATTCTTGAAAGCGCACAAGTGCTCAACTCCTTTTCAAACCAATTGGCTTAAGTACCCAAAAAATTGTAAGAAGTGCAATTAGGCATTAAGCACTTGGAAATCTATCCCAGATTGATTTTTGAAACAGAAGTTAAGAAGAAGTGAAATTGGAACACAAATCCCTGGGTGCTCTTGGAAGCACTTATTTAGTTTTGAATCTGTATTTTAGCTTAAGCAACTTGAATTCCAAAACACTAATGAAAAACATGGTATACATAATTGGTTAATTAAAGTAATTTAATTAATGAGTGTTTTAGTGTTGTATCTACTACACTAATTTTACCTCAAATACATGTAAATACCTTGTTTTTGATTTCTTTGAATATGCAGGACGATAAATGACTTAAATATAAAATTATCTAGCGCATGAACATCACACATCGAGCCTTTTTGCAAATTCTGAAGGAACACGTAGGCTTCTTGCTTCTTGCTGGCAAATTACTGGTTGATGGAAATGCATATAAAAATTTTCATTTTTTTTTTATTTGTAGAGTCTGAGAGCAGTAAAAACTGCAGAGGAAAGAGTCCATCACTGTTGTGCGATCTTGCATGAGGCTGCTGGATTTAGTAAAGCCTGACTAAGGGTATTTCTAGATGTCAAAAGGAAGGCCTGCTATAAGGAAAGAAATGATCACAGAATCCTAGAATACTTCAGGTTGAAGGGACCCATAAGGAAATTTTATGGAAGAGAACACTCCTTCGGCTGCAGCGCTGGGCTAAAATTTCTGTTTTTTATTATAAACCCAGAAGTGTGAGTCTGAGGCCTACTTGTTTTTTGTCACACAGCAGTGGTCATTTTGTGATAATCAAATGGTATGGCTTCAGCCATTCAAACTCCCAGTGTCTCACTGTTTTAGAATTAGATGCTACTTCTATTGTATTTATTTTTTTTTCCCTTCAGTGAAACTTACTTTCATCTCCAGTTTCAAATTCAAACTTCTGGCTATAGCCGCTGTATCCTGCTGCCGTCCTGACTCTGATATGAAATATATACTTGGTGGCTGGCTTGAGACCTGTGATGATAACACTTGGAGCCTTGGACCTTGTGGAGGAATAGCTGAGCTGCTCATGTTCCTGAGGGACAAAAGAGGGAAGAAATGATATCAAGTTGAGTTGAACAAACTTTGCAAAAATGATATAACAGAACTGAAGCTCCATATTCTTCTCATGAGTGTAAAATGTGTCTATAAAAGGAGGTGCAGGTATGTATTTACATACTTTGATTCTGTGCTATAGTCATAATGCATGATATGGCCTTGACTTTCACATTTCAGTTTTTTTTCTTTAATCCTGCATATTGACACATCTCTGTGACTTGGGTTAGTAATTACACCGTAGTCAAACCAATATGGAATAAGTACAAGACTACATTCACAGAAAAAATGGCAACTAGAATGGCAGCTAATTATTTCCGCACAATGGACAAAACTAGGAGGTCAGGAAATACTAGTAAGCTGTAAAGTAAAGACGTGGGAGTATTCAAATACCCGCTACTCACTTCTACCCGCAGGTAGTGCCAAAATGCCGGCGCTATCCGTGGGTAGACCTGTGGGTAAAAGAAAATAAAAATTAACTTTTTCTTTAAAGCCTGTAAAGTTCTAGCACAGCTCAACTGCTTCACTGCTGCTGAACTAAATTTCTCTTTCCAGGTAGCCGTAGTGTAGTTGGACATGAAATTCACTTTCAAGCTCTGTAAGGAGGAACACTGTCTCCGAAGTCCCCCGTTAATCTCCTAGCAGTTGATCCTGGGCAGCTGCTGAGAATTCCTGACTCTCACAGAGATCACTGAGAATTATGGTGTGCAGAGATTCTTGGGAATTACCAGTGCAGACCAGCTGCTGCAGTACAGAGAGACCAGTCACATCGATTGCTGGGCAAAAACTAAGAGCTGCTTTGTTAGACAGGTTGCTGACGATGTTTTTATATGAGGGAAGACTGACTGACTTGGAAGGAGAACATTTGTTCCCTGTCATTAGTTACTGTCACTTGATAAATCAATAATCTGTAATATTTTATGTGCTGCCTTAAGGCCAGCTTTACTTCAGTGGAGCAGGATTTGTCTCCAAACTGACAAACGAGCAGAAATGTCCTTGGCATATGCTTAACAATCCAACTGTGACACCCATAGGGCACCATATACATTTATTATACCGTGCAGCAGTATTAGAGTATGTATTAGTTATTCAAAGGGTAATTCCAACCCACTAAGAAGGAAACAATCTGGTTCACAGAAGAGACATAACCAGGAGAAGAATAGGTTACAGTTGGATTCTGTTGGACTCTTAACCTCTTGTGAGAAACTTTCACATACAAACTTTGTATATAAAACAAACAGTTCTATATAAAACATGCTGAGTTGACTTCAGTCATGTGTAAGAAAGTCACATTAGCACAGGGCAGAAGGTATACCCCTATTCCCCCACTATGCCTACAGGGAGATGGCTGGGAAAACCAGATTAAAAAAACAAACACACAAAAGCAACTTAATGATTCTGTTAAGTGAAGGAGCAGAAGGAAGGCAACAATGACCAATATATAAAATAATTGCATTCAATGTTCACTTCAAGCAGTGGAAATAATTTGAAAAACTGTAGTAAGAGGAAGCGTTGATTTGTTCTACAGGCTCTTACCAAATTTTGAAGCTGTGAGGAGCATGTATTTAAATTGAAATAATAAGGTACAGTGTACATGTAATCTTATGGATAGAGACTATAATTAAGATACTATTAACTATAATTAACTACTTCTTTGATTATCAGATTTCTCTCAATTCCTTGAAATCCTATAAGTTCACTTTGAAAAAATTAGTGGATTTTAGACATACTTTTTTTAGGCATTTCAGAAAATATCTATTTTCTTCTGACAGAAAGCCTACTTGTTAGAGTGATAGTTTTTTTTTCGTGTGTGATTAAGCCTACTTAATATCATGTATGTGAGCAAAAAAAAGGTGTAATAGGATAATACTCAGATTTGTAAGGAAATAGAGAGGAATTTCCACACTAATTCATGGACATTTCACGAACATTCAGTGTGTCATGAACAACTAATTTCTATTCCACAGCCTGGTTATATGTGCAAATTCCAGGGACTTCCATGTATAGAGGGGACATATAACTTAACATGGAACTTGGCAAGGGTATGCAAACTTGGAGAACACAAGGTTTGAGCTTATTTAGTAATGAAGCTGCTAACCATAGTGTGTACATTCCTGCCCAAAGAGACTAAGTCTTTTAAGACAAGTTATCTACCAGCTCAAAGTTAATCTAAGAATTAGACAAAAAAAATGACCTGTCATGGCCCATAGATGTGCAGAGACTTTACACTCTGGAATGCTCTGGAAATTTTTAGTTAGACTGTAAGCTACAGAACAGACCAGCGGCTAAGAGATTTCACTGTACCATGTAATAGTTGCTTTTTTCCCCCCCCTAGACTATCTTACTGCCTGAAATCAAGTTCTAAGCATTTAACAATGTACTGTTTTTTCTGACCTGCTGGAGAGATTGCAGAAAAAAATTCATGGAACTGTAAAAAGACAAAGGGTCCTTAAGAGGAGGATGGAAATGGAAATTTTGTCAAAAAATTGGTGGTGATTCCCCAAGATACAAGGACAAGATTTTCTCCTTAAAGTCTGTTAGAACAAGACCAGTGGCAGCAAAGAACTGAGAATGACTTCTGACGAAAAACAATCTGAGCTATATCTGTTGTATGTTATTACAGGCTAATTACTGCTTGTGTAAAACATAGCATTTGGGATACAGGGGCTCTGTAATCAGGGGTGTGGACAGACAGTCATCAAATATAATTCATTATTTGTTGTTAGTAAAAGGCAATTAGTGTGACAAGGGCATGATGGTAACATTTAATCAACAAAATGGGTCCCTCTGTGACTAACAGCAAACTCCTGAGGGGTGGCCACCTCTGCCTGTCCCTTCTGGGCAGTGGAAGGTATTTTAGTTACCTCTGAGGGTTGTCTGGCTTGTTTCTGCCTCACCATCTCCCTGGGGGTGCCAGCAGGAGGCCCTAAAGGGTCCCTTCTTCATGCCCTTTCTCCTTTCTGCAGCCTCTTATGCCATCCATCCCACAGGAAAACGATGTCTAGGAGTACACAATCTTAAAAGTAATAGTGATATCATATGGGAAAGGGGGTAGGATTTGGTATTCCATGTGAAACAGCAGCAAGAGAACATGTCACGTTGGGGTGTTTGAGAAGAATAAGCTTCAGGAGTGTGTACCTGAGGAGCAAGTTTCTCATATTTAAGACAAAATGATTCATAGCTGGAGACTTCATATGGCTGGAATGTTTTGCACAAAGAATTTTTGGACTGGATTCATACACGAGACAATTCTCCAAAGAGTGGATGCTTTGCCATTATTCTATTCTCTTGACAATGACAAGATCTGCAGCCCACCTGGAAAGCCAAAGCTTTCTGCAGAGAGATACAATTTGAGGTTGATGGGGGTGGCTCTCAAGGTTGGCCACTCCTTCTGCTGTGTTCTTTTGCAGGAAGGCTAAAGACAAACTAAAAAAAATACAATTCTAGTCTGCAGAGAAATGTGGGATGCTTTGTTTTATTCTTGCTACAGATCACATGCCCTACTTTAGCAGGAAATCTGGGTTCGAAAATTGAATTTTAAACTGAAGGACTTAGATGTACTTCCTGGATGTTAGTGCCTGCTTCTCCCAGACCTCACTTCCATGCTGTGGCAAAATGTAGATATATATCAACCCAATTACTATACACCCTATTTTCCATCAAAAGGAAGCTTTGAGTGCTAGAAGGAGCCACGGTATGGTCGGTGATAAATCTCTGACCTGAACAGTGACAGGACCAGGATCGGTGGGACTATATTTATTCAGTATTTCTTGAAAACTACAGAGGACCACTAAAAATCTGCAAAATAAAATAAAAGTTTCACTGATATGGCTGTATTTCCCATGATACATAAGGAGTAAGAGAACTGTTGGCCACTATATATGGCTCAGCGTTCATATAAAAGAGAGGGTACAAGAAACGCTCTGACCCTTTACAGTAGTATCAGAGCAGCATTTGTGATCTTAAGATGGCACAGGACTCACAAGGAGCAGTTCTGAGAACACAGTGGCTGAGGGGTTAAACATAAGTTGAAGTTAAATATAATATACTCATAGAACTACCAGACAAAATCTGATACGAGGAAATTCATTAGATCTCTTCCATGGCCTACTGCAAATTTATCTTGGTGAAAATCTGTAATTAAAACATAAATATAATCCAAATGCAAGTGATGCCAACGTTATCACACAATGTAATACTGAGTCTGTGACTAGATATCCAAGTTCAACAGGATTATAGTATGAACTTTGAAAATGTTATCTCTATTTCTAAGGAAATTGTATTTTTCTTATTGTTTGGGTGATTCTTCTTGTCAATGGATTCAGTTTTGATTATAAGAGACAGTGTTGATCTGTCATGAACAGGAATACCTTTCAGAATGAAACTTTTTCCTGCAGCCACCTCTGTGTGAGTATCTGAATCTGGATCTCTCCTAATTTTATACTTGGCTTTATAGTCAAGGTATTTTTTTCATATCTCAAGGAACAGACTGAGTGGATGGAAGTTACAATGGTGCCAATGGACTAAGACTAGACAGCCTAATTTAATTGAGTACCAGGAACAGAGGATAAAAGTTAATGAAAAGCTTTCTGCTTTTGCAATGCACCAGAGTAGCTGGATCTGTCCCATCAACATACACTGTGATGAAATGTTTCCACTCTATAACACCATGAGATTAAATTGTAGTTCTTCACTCAGTGAAAGTAGCTACTTTATTAATGTCATATTCATTCAATACCCAGATGTTCTATTATTGTGATTATTCTCACCATTTTTCTCATGTACTACAAAGAAAGGGGTTTCCCTCTGATAACATTAACCCTTGCAAACAAACAGATACATTTTCACATGCCATACCTGTGTGAACATGTTGAACCTTCCCCCCCCCCTTACTACAGTGGGAAAAAGCACAGAAATGAAGACTTTGTGCACACATGTAAAATATTGATAAAGACTAAACAAAACGTGATGACGTTTTATCACTTGAGACTCACATGGCACGAAAAGAGATTACACTCTGATGTTATAGATGAGAAAAAGTATATATAACTGAAATCTCTAGTGCAAAAAAAATAATAGAAATAAAAGCTGAAATGCAGAATTTTGCTTATAGTGCTCAAATAACCTTAAGAAGATTGACCTTACCAGTAAAGCACTGATAGAAAATCCAGGTACTTTCAGGTGTACAAGATTTGTTAATATTTGAGTGGGAAAGAGAAACATGGCTTTTATCAAAACACTATCAATCCTTACTTTAGCAGCTGAAAAAGAACCCCAAATTTTCTGTCCTTTAGAATATATAATGGGAGCTCCAGGAATTGCCATTCTCTTGCAATACACTCCAAGTCTGGGTTATTTTCTGAATGACAGTCAAGGTATTGGGTTCATTGAGTAACTGAAAAGTCTTAAACTGACACTAGGGAAAGAGTCTCCAAAGGGTTCTGCCAGCTGA